AAACCCTGTCTCGAAAAACCAAAAAAAAAAAAAAAAAAAAAAAAGATCACAGTGTGAAGAATCTTGTTTATAATTTTAAAAGGAAAATTACATTTTATGTGGTGTTGGGGATCAAACTTGGGGCTTTGTGCATGCTAGACAAGCTCTCTACCCAATGAGCTCTGTCTCCAGCCCACTAAACCTCGTGTTTTAAATTTTCCTGTTCACTTTTAAATAGACATACAGAAACATAAAATTTTCCAGAGTTCTTGGGCACTAGGTGATGTTTTGATGATATGTATACATTGTATAAAATCCAAATCAGGTTAAATGTATCTATAGCAAGAAACATTTTTTTCCTTTCTTTCTCCTGGGTATTGGCACTGAGTATCATTTCACTTTTTTGTCGGCCATTGCTGTGTCTCCTTTGGAAAAATAGCACTCAAGTCCTTTGTCTATTTTCTAAAGAGTGTGTGTGTGCAAATTAATGTATGTATACATAGTTGTGTGTGCATGTATGTGTATGTTCATGTATATGTGTGTATGCTGTATGTGTGTGTACGTAGTCATGTTTGTGTACATAATTGTGTGTGTACATGTATATGTGTGTGCTGTGTGTGTACATACTTATGTGTGCACATGTGTGTATGTATAATATATAGCAATATATGTATATATAGCCTTGTTTTCAACATAAAAGCTGTAATTCTACTCCTATATTTTTTATGCCTTCTCAGATAGATAAACAGACTGGAACATCTCTTAAAGATTTATTTATTTATTATGTATACAGTGTTCTGTCTGCACGTCTGCCTGCATGCCAGAAGAGGGCGCCAGATCTCATTACAGATGGTTGTGAGCCACCCTGTGGTTGCTGGGAATTGAAGTCAGGACCTCTGGAGGGGCAGTCAGTGCTCTTAACCTCTGAGCCACCTCTCCAGCCTCAGACTGGAACATCTCACTCCTTGGAAGACAGGAGTGGAATAAAGGACAGGGTTCTCTTTCCTTGGTCAGTAGTTTTGAAAATAGATGGTTTAGGAGGAGAGGAAGAAAGATTCTGACACAAAGTGTTCTCTGAATTTACGTAGGGCTGAGATGAGTCACAGAGAGAAGAGCCGCTGTCTCCCATGGTCTCCTCTGGTGGGTTGGGAAAATCAATCAGATGTAGTCTGTTAGCGTCCTGTGTGCAGACACCTCTTCAATTGCAGGTTACTGGAAGGAAAAATGGCCAGCGATACACCAGGTTTCTCCATAGACAAACTTAATAAATACCGTCAGAAGCATGGAGTAACAATTACGTATAAAGAACTTGATCCTACAGGACCTCCACATGACAGGAGGTAAGTTGCCATCAGAAAAGGTATGAGGAGGGCCAGAGAGGTGACTCAGTGGGTAAGAGTTCTTGCTGTGTATGAAGAGCTGAGTTCGAATCCCTAGCACCCACATAAAAAGCGGAGCATGCCTGAGTACGTGGCTGTAAATCCAGCACTGTGTAGGGCGGAGACAGGAGCGTCACTGGGGCTTTCTGTCTTACTAGCTTAGCTCTAAGTTTAGTGAGAGACCCTGTCTCAAGAGACCAAGGCAAAGAGAGATAGAGCGGGCAGCCTGGAGTCTTTGTGACTTCTGGGTGCACATAGACAATTCACTCCCCCAACATTTGCATACATCACACACAATTTACTGTAAACACACATATTCTCTCTCTCTCTCTCTCTCTCTTTAAAAAAAAAAAACCCAAAATGACGGGATGACGGAAAGAAGGAAAGTATGACACAGATACGTAGATAATGGAGGTGTAGCTCCCTGTTAGAGCAGGTGCTTAGAATACATAAGGCCTGAATTCAACTCCAGGCATTTGAAAGGAAAAATAAAAGGTAAAAAACAAACAAACAAAAAACACCAAACGAGCAAACAATAGAAGGTCTGTCCCTATAAACATACAGAACGAGGAGGACAACTACAGTGCAATTGGGAAGTCAGCACCGCGGCTCCTTAGGGAGCTCCTTAGCTGCAGAGTCCTGGGAGAGTCCCCCTGACAGAGTCTGCTAACCACAGGGGCTGGAGCAATGACTCAGTGGGGGAAGACATTTGCCACCAAGCCTGATGACCTGAGGCTTTCTCTGGGACCCACATAGTGGAAGGAGAGGACAGATTCCCAAAAGCTGTCCTCTGATTTCCAACCAGCGTGTCCTGTCATGAGCGCACAGACGACACACGCAGACACATACCCCACCCCCACGGTAAATAAATAGGAAAAAAGACTAAGCGCAGTAGCTCATGCTTATAATCCTAGCACCTGGGTGGCTGAAGCAGGATTGTTGTGAGTTTGAGGCCTGCCAGGGTTATATAGGGAGACGCTGTAAATAAATAAATAAATAAACAAACAAACAAGCAAACAAACAAATAACAACAACATCAAGTAGACAAAAGAAAAATGGGGGAAAAAAACAAACTTCTCCGTTTCAAGAAGACATTGAGGGCTGGAGAGATGGCTCAGCGGTTAAGAGCACTGACTGCTCTTCCAGAGATCCTGAGTTCAATTCCCAGAACCCACACGGCTGCTCACAACTGTCTATAACTCCAAGATCTGACACCTTCACACAGTCATACATGCAGGCAAAACACCAATACACATAAAATAAAAAATAAAATAAAGAAAAATAAAAAAGAAGACATTGTTATTGCGGTAGATGCTTAAATTAAGTACATACTGAGCATGAGTTTGAATCCTGAAAGGTACTTGTGGGGCAGTGGTGACCAGAGCGCTTGTCCTGAGCTAAATTACAAGCTGTATAATATGTTGTAAATACTGTCTTTTTAATCAGGTTTACATTTCAAGTTATTATAGACAAGAAAGAATTTCCAAAAGCCGAAGGCAAATCCAAGCAGGAAGCAAAAAATGCTGCTGCCCGATTAGCTGTTAATATACTTAATAACGAAAATAAGGTGAGTAATTGGCTTTTTTTACCCCTAGTCAAAGGGAAGCTGTAAATATGTTTGTATGTGTGTATGTATATATGTATATATATGTATCATGTGTGTATAATTTCTCTCAGTGAGAAAATACACATGCCAGTGTAAAACTATTCATTCAAAGTTTTATTTCTTTTTTTCTTCCTAACTCCATTTTTTCCTGAGTGAGAAATACACCAGGAAATTTGTTGACAAAATTGTGTACTTCTCTGTGAGTGCTAGCAACACTTACGTGCTCTGAAGTTGAATACATGTGGAAAGATGTGACTGTTCAGAGGGACATGGGCTGGTAAGGCCAAGGAGGGTCCCTTCCACCTCCGGAAGCAAACAGAACAGAGAAAGCCATGCAAGTCCTGGTAGGGAGAACTACAAACTTGGAGGAAAATTATAGAGAAGCAACATACATCACATTGGTGTTCCTGGAGATGCAAACAGGGTAAATAGCTTATAAAACAAACAAACAAACAAACAAACAAACTGTAAACAGGTCTATCTGGTCCCTGGGGACGTGAGGGAGGGTATATGGTTCTGTGCCTAGCATGCACAAGGCCTTGGATACAATTCGCTAGTATCAAACAGAGAAAACTATCTGGAGATACTTCAGCAGAAAGTGTTATGAAATAGAGACATGGCATTAGATGAAATTAACTCCATAGGTAGAGAGACATACAGAAGTACCAAGAACAGTATCGATCCTTATGAAAGCATGGACCCGAGGGAAGAGGGGAGGGGACTTTACATCTATCTGCTACAATGTCAAAAACCAAGAGACTGGAAACGTGGGTACAATTTGAACTGATTTGTGTGTGAGATGGGAAGATTGTCCTCAGACACTGGGAAGTTTTACCTTCCAAAATACTCCCGGATAATCTTACTTGAAGATGCCATCCTTATAATCAAGTCAAAAGCAACCAGGGAAAAACCACAAATTCTCTTATTAATAAGCTAAAAAATAAAATAAAATAAAATAGGGTAACTTCCTTCTCTCAAAGTGGGAGACAGACAACAATAACAATGATGGAAATTTGCGTAGAAGAACACACATAATAATAAGGGTGAGGGGCTGGAGAGATGGCTCAGAGGTTAAGAGCACTGGCTGTTCTTCCAGAGGTCCTGAGTTCAATTCCCAGCACCCACATGGTGCCTCACAAACACCTGTAATGAGATCTGGCGCCCTCTTCTGGCCTGCAGGCAGAACACTGTATACATAATAAATAAACAAAAATAATAAGGGTGAACGAGGGGGCTAGAGAGATGGCTCAGCGGTTAAGAGCACCCACATGGAGCTCACAACTGTTTGTAACTCCAGAGCTTCTGACACCTTCACACAGACATACCTCATGCAGGTAAAACACCAGGGAACACAAAATAAGAATAAATCAATTAATTAAAAAAAATAAGGGTGAATGAAACCCAAACCTAGTTCTTTGGTAAGGTCCATGGAGGAGAAACTTTGGACCACACCTGATCATGTGGGAAACAGTGAAGGTTGAGACAATAACAGTGCGCTCCTGTGGACATCTTTTCCTGTAAGTGGTGAACCAACATTGGGCTTTCCTTCCATCGTTTTCTCTCCGTTGAGTTTTACGAATGTTGTGGCATGCTAGAAAGTGTTACAATACCATTTTCATAGAAGAAGAAGGGGTGTGTGTGGCTAGGGAGGGCTCAGATATCCAGAATGTGTACTGCTCTTACAGAGGCCTGGAGTTCAGTTCCCCGCACGTTGGGTGGCTCACCACCACCTGTAACTCCAACTCCAAGGGATCACACCCGCCTTCTGGCCTCCTCGGGCACCCTCATTCATGTGTGTGTGTGTGTGTGTGTGTGTGTGTGCGCGCGCGCGCGCGCGCGCGCGTGCGTGCACACCCACACCCACATGCACATAAATTTTAAAATGAATAAAGGCAATAAATCCTAGAAAGTGAAATAAGAAAATGGGCTCAGTTTGCTTTGTTTTGGTAAGACAGTCTGGTCTCATGCTGGGCGGTGGTGGCGCACGCCTTTAATCCCAGCACTTGGGAGGCAGAGCCAGGCAGATCTCTGTGAGTTCGAGGCCAGCCTGGACTACAGAGCGAGATCCAGGATGGTCTCCAAAGCCACACAAAGGAACCCTGTCTTGAAAACAACAACAACAAAAAAGACACCCTGGCCTCAAGCTCTCTGTGTAGCTCAGGCTTGCCTCAGACTCTCTATTTTAGCATAGGCTGGCTTCAGACTCTCTGTGTAGGTCAGGCTGGCCCCTGGCTTTCTGTGTAGCTTGGGTTGGCCTCAGATTCTCTGTGTAGCTCGGCTTGACCCTGATATATTTTTTTAAACATAATTTCTTTATTGATTCTTGGGGAACTTCACATCATGCACCCCAATTCCCCTCATTTCCCAGTCCTCCTATACCTGCCCTACACCCTTGCAATGTCCTCCTCAAAAGAAAATTAAAACACACACACACACACACACACACACACACACACACACATACAACTAAAACCAAACAAAATCAAAACAAACGAACAAAAAACCTTTTTGCTCCTGGGTCTTCCCTGCCTCTCCAACACCTCTTCATTCATCTTAGTGGCACTGGGAGTCGTAGTGCATCACGCAGTCTACCCTTTTGTCCAATCAGCTTGACTTGCAAATGTTCATTGCAATGAGTCATGGGTCTGGTGCAAAGCCTCTGGTTTCTGGCACACCATCATCAGTGAGACCCTCACCGAAACTCCTCTTGAATATCCCACAGCTGTCCTGAGCCATGGAGACCCTGCAGTTCCTTTACAAGCCCAGGCAGGACATAGATAGGGTAGATGTTAGGCCTTGATCCTCTTGCCTCTGACCCCCCGAGGGAGACCTGGGATAACACACGTGCACCAGCACACCTAGCTTGGTTTTTCCTTAGTGAAATTATAAAAGGAAAGTGAGTGACTTAACTCACTTTTATAAATCGATATATATATATATATATATATATATATATATATATATATATATGTTTTTCGAGACAAGGTTTCTCACTTTGTAGACCAGGCTGGCCTCGAACTCACAAAGATCCGCCTGCCTCTGCCTCCCCAGTGCTGGGATTAAAGGTGTGCGCCACCACCGCCCGGTGGGAATATATTTTTAAATATATATTATTTGTATGTCTTTGCCATACAAAAAAGGGAAGAAAAGGACATAAGATATATATATACTGCCGTTTTCTGAATTCAGCCATTGTGCAGTGTATACCTATGTCAAACATCATAGATATGTAATTTTCATGTGCCACTTAGGATTTCTTTAATTAAAGGAAGAATTTATTTTTACAGATTTTTTTCCCCTAATAAATATATAGTTACACTTTTAATAAGAAAATATAATTGGGAAATGCATAACACATTGTCTCTCATGTTACTCATTTAGGAATTTCATCTGATAATTCATGATTTGTACTAAACGCGTTTTTTTTTTTCTTTGTAGGTGGATACTCAGACAGACGCTTCTGAAGGGTTGTTTGTTGGGAACTACATAGGCCTTGTCAATAGTATTGCCCAGAAGAGAAACCTGCCTATAAATTATGAACACACTGTCTCCGCCGATGCGCATTCACCCCAAAAGTGAGCTACGGTTTGGCTTCTCCTCCTGTTTCACTGTATACAAGCAATAGAACCGTGAGGCTTTCATTTGTAGTTTTCCGGAAGTATTTGCCCCCCTTTTTATACATTCATTATGGAAGGTTGGACATGATTTATAAACATCAAACGCTCAATTCCTGAGACTGCGGGGTCCTTTGGATCAATCAAATTTGGCTGATTTTTTTTTTTTTTTTTTTTTACAGTAGATTCTTTGTTTCCTTGGTTTTGCTTTCTGAAATTTCAGTTACCTTCGGTCAACAGGACAGTGAGCACAGTACAGGAAGCCGTTTCTAGAGGAAGACCGCTTTCGAAAACCTGGGAGTGGAGCATATTGCACTAATTGTTGTAGTTGATTAGCTATTGCTAATCTTTGACTAGGTCTTGTTTATGAGTTAAACTTTATCATATGAAGAATAATGAGTATTTCTAGGGTTCCACACAATCTATGGTATCAGTCATCCATTGGCTCTTAGGATAAGAGGGGTCTGCTGATTTTTGAGGTGCATCTGAATGGTTAGTCGGCTACACATTTCACAGAGTTCAGGATGCCTATGCATGAGGCATGCAGGGTTCTTCCCTTCCCTGAGGCCAAGGCAGCTGCAGCCCTGTGACTGCTGGTCTGCCCCTCTACGGAATGGCTCTCCCGTTTTCAGTTAGGGAGCGGCTTGGGTGAGTGTCTGCTCGCATTTGAATAGACGGACAAAATGCCATGCATCAGCAGGCAGGAGTGGTCTTAGTCCGGCCGGCCGAATCTGGGAAGAAAGCTGCTGTGAGGGGTAGGATGTGTGGACAAGGAGTGGAGTCTGGAGGTGCTGAGAGAGCATCCTCAGGGAGCTGTCTTCGCATAGCACTGTGCCCTCGGGGCTCATCCCCTGAGAGCCCCGCTGTGCCAACCGGTTTTCTTTCCTACTTGAACAGCTCTAGAAAATTCGCTGGATCTCCTCCTTTTCTCTCTCCCTCAAAATCTTCTTCTTTGAGGCTGAAAAGAGTTTGTTTGTTCGTTTGTTTTTAAAACCATCACTTGACATGGTCTCAACCGTTTCTGCTTATTCAGATAAATTGGTAGCCATTCTTTTTTTTTTTTTTTTTTTTTTTTTTTTGGTTTTTTTCGAGACAGGGTTTCTCTGTGTAGTTTTGCGCCTTTCCTGGAGCTCACTTGGTAGCCCAGGCTGGCCTCGAACTCACAGCGATCCGCCTGGCTCTGCCTCCCGAGTGCTGGGATTAAAGGCGTGCGCCACCACCGCCCGGCAATTGGTAGCCATTCTTGTGGGGGTTTAAATTATGTGAGGTAGGAAATATAGATATAGAGTTAAAATTAAAAATCAGATTAGTCTGATCTCAAGGCCTTTATTTGTCTATAGGGTTCTTTTTTTTTTTTCCAAATTGTACATTGGATTGACATTATTTTTGATATGTGAATGAACACTCACATTTTTTCCCCTAGATTTAATTGTAAATGCAAACTCGGGGAGATAACATACGGTGTCGGCTCAGGCGCTACCAAACAGGAGGCGAAGCAGGCGGCTGCTAAAGAGGCGTATCAGAAGCTGTCAGAGCAAACCTCAATGGTACGCGTTATCGATTAGATTTAATTTGTACAGTTACGACTCCCTCTGAAGTTGACTTCAGGTCAGACTGTTGGCAGAAGAACGCAGGCGTTTGCCAGCTGCATACAGCATGATTCCTCCGTTCTGTGTACCACCAATGATCCATGGACCGTGGGACTCGGAGGTCTCGGGGACATGAGAGTTCTATGGGAATGCAGGATTGCTTTTAAAACTTAGCTCAAACATCTGCGAAAATGGATCAGTTTTGCCATGCTCTGTGATTGTGGTCTGAGTGGCTGTGGGGAGAATATGGGCAATAACGTGTGCCCTGCCGTGATGAGCCACCATCGAGGAGTAAGTTAGCTCTGTGAGCTTGCTAAGGGCTGCCCCTTCTTTCAGAGCGGTAATGGAGCATCATCTGGTTTTACCACACCTTCATCCAGTGGCCTCTCCAGCAGCTCGTCTCTAGCAAGCAATTCGTGAGTTTGGGTGGTAAATGTGGGGAGTGGGCTGGGGGTGGGGCGTGTTTGGGGCTGTGGATGCGATCCCCATCACCTCCCTTCCCCCACACTTGGTTCCCAGAACTCACACCAAATGGGTCACAACCACCTGCAACTGCAGCTCCGTGGAATCCAGTACCTTCTTCTGGCCTCGTGGGCCACCCAAACACACATGGTATTCACACACACACACATATATATGCAAACCTTCAAAAACTTAGACTGAATTCATAAAAGTTACTCTTTTCTTTTAGTAGTGCTTCTCTATCAGTATTTTCTGAGCAGTAAATACAACAATTGAACAAAAGACAACTCCTGAGGTGGATGGGTGGAGACAGAGGAACTTACCACGTGATCAGGCCCTCCCCGCTGGTGCCTGTATCAGTGAGGAGGGAAGAGGAGGGCAGACATGGCTGAGGGGAGAGAAGAGGCAAAGAGGACCACGGATGTTGCATGAGCCATGACTCCTGGCACTGATGGCATTCATCGGGTTGAAGACTCGAGGGTGAAGAGGGAGCCCGGCAGTATTGCTGTGTCTGGTTTGAGGTGATGTTTGAACATCCCACTGTGGTTGGCTCATCACCAGTGAGGACTGAGGGCCGGAGGGAGCGACCCAGGGGACCTCATTCCTAGGGACGTTCGGATTCTGGGGAAGAAGGGGATAGGAGGTGAGTGATGAGTGTGTTCGGGTGAAAATGGGAAGCAGGAAAGGGATGAAAAAAGAGGATCGTCAGAAGAGAACCAACAGGAGGTGTTTTCCATTCCCTGTCATCCTGATAGCTGATGCAAAAATATATAATGCCCAGTGCATGGCATAAAGCCTGCTCTAAAGTTATACAGGTCACGGTTTTGTCTGAGTTTTGTATCTTATTTTATTTTTTTGTCTCAATTTTAGAAACCCGGAACCTAATGATGTGGGAGAGAATAAGCACACGGTAGACAGCAGGTAAGGGGGTTTCTAACGTGAAGCATGCTCATGAAACAAAGTTTCATGATGAATAGTTGTGGCATAGTCAGGCTTACCGAGGGGTCAGTGTCTCTTTGAGAAGTCCAGGTTTAAGGATCCAAGCGGAACATGGCAAATGCAAATCTCTGCCATGTTATCAGTTTTTCTGATATCCTCGGACACTGTCAAAACGGAAAGCAAATAATCTTTATATCCGTTATTTAGAAGGAAAAGAATAGAGAGAGGAAAGGAAACGGGGGAGGGAAGGGGTAGAGGAAGGAGAGAAACTCCTGTGGGAATCGAAACCAAGCCACCTGGACCTGTGTTCCGGCGCCGTACAAGGTTTCTCTGGGCAAAAAAAAGGAAAGGAGGGTGGGAATTCATCTGCTGTAGATGATGTTTCGGGTGAACTTAAATACCTAAGATGAAGGGAGCCTGTTTGAATCAGCGGGACATTGAATGCAAGTTTTCAAAAAGAACCAGTGATGCTTATTAAGCACCTGATATGTGCCCAGCACTGGTCTGGGCATCAGGCTTATGATAGGAACAAATAGAGTAGAATTCTTCCTCTCAAAAGTTTTTTTTTTTTTTTTAAAGATTTATTTATTTATTATGTATACAGCATGTTTGCCTGCAGGCCAGAAGAGGGCGCCAGATCTCATTACAGATGGTTGTGAGCCACCATGTGGTTGCTGGGAATTGAACTCAGGACCTCTGGAAGAGCAGTCAGTGCTCTTAACCGCTGAGCCATCTCTCTAGCCCTCTCAAAAGGTTTTGAGGTGACAATTGGCATTAAGGGAAGAGGTCTGGGGAGATGGCTCAGCTGTGCAAACATCAGGGCCTAAGCTTGAATACCAAGCGCCCCTCTAAAAAGACAGGCGTGGCAATGCATACATTTATAAGTCCCACACTGGCAGGGAGTTATAACCAATCAGTGAGCTCCATGGATCCATGGCACTCATTGGCTAGCCAGCATAACCAATCAGTGAGCTCCATGAGAAAAAAAAAAAAAAAAAGCCAAGTGGTGGTGGCACATACCTTTAATCCCAGCACTTGGGAGGCAGAGGCAGACAGATTTCTGTGAGTTCAAGGCCAGCCTGGTCCACAGAGTGAGTTCCAGGACAGCCAGGGATACATAGAGAGACCCTGTCTCAAAATATAGAACAACAACAACAAAAAAATGTGGAGAGTCACTGAGGAAGACCTCTGTCATCAAGCTCTGACCTACACACACACACACACAGACACACACACACACACACACACACACGCACACGCACACGCACACGCACACGCACACACCCACATATATACATGCATGCATTTCCGTAGTTACAAGATCTGTATTCACACATTTACATATACATGCGTTTCCGTAGTTACAAGATCTGTATTCACACAGACACACATACATCTGCAACTACAAAATTAGGCCAGAGTTAAAGAAGAACAGCAGTGCGATTAAAAACCGGAAACAAAGCCCTCGGGTCAGCCTTCTGTGGAGAAAGCATGAGCTTGGCGTGTAATGAACAAGGACGCAGTGTGATGGGTGAGGTTGAAAGAAAAGCGGGAAAGTGCTGCCTGGCGCCTTATGCGCCGCCGCGGAAGGGCTTCCTGGTTTTTGCCGAAAGCAAAGACAAGGCTGTGGGAGGTTTAGGTGAGAGGGAGACATGATCAGGCCAAGTTCTCCTCGCTAAAGTAGGGCAGGAGAAGTGGGGTATCCGCCAGCAGGCCAGCGCTGCAGGAGCCTTGATGGCTGATCTGGGTGAAGATGTGGGAAATGAAAAGAAGCGGGCAGGTGGCGGTGATATGGGGTAGAAGAATTAGCAGGATTTAGTGAGGGGATGTGGGGCGGGAGGAGGAAAGCAAACGGGTTGTTCTAGCCCAAGAGGCTCAGGGCTTCTGCGCTCTGTGTGCTTCCTGGGGCACACAGCTGAATGATTCTAAGTCTAATACTTGGGAGGGAATTTCTCCTCTTCTTTTTGCCCACTGGGAAAGGATACTTCCTGGTGTCTTAGGTGCAGCTAGAGGGGGTGATCTGTTGTATTGTCTATCAAAAGAGGGAGGGAAAGGAAAGGAAAAAGAGGAAGACTTTCTTGTGACTCAAGAGTTCTACCGGATGTTATTAAAAACAAGAAAGAAAGAGTCATTTTTTTTTTTTTTTTTTTTTACTAAACGTCAGCATAACAGTAATATTGATCTTAACTAGGCTTAACAAGGACTATGAAGACATACAAGTAATTGGCTCAGGTGGATTTGGCCGGGTCTTCAAAGCAAAACACAGTATTGACGGAAAGACTTATGCTATTAAGCGAGTTACATATAACACAAGGTAAGTAGATGTCTGGCTGTTTTGAACACAATGTGTTGGACTCTCACCATTCTTTATATATCTGTCCCTCATCACTCACATTTCTTGTTGGTCCTCCTTAACTTTCATTACGCCTACAAGAGTTTGGCTTATTCTGAAATGGCCTGACCTTAAAGTGGGCATTTATTTCAGTTTAAAAATATAAATGCATCATTTTGAGACAGCACTGGACCTCGAAGCTGTTGACTTATTTGGTTTAAGGTGGTTTTCTCCATTTCCTCCATTTTGAGGGTCCCTCCTCTCTGATGTCTCCACTTTGTGTCAAGTTGAGGTAAAACCAGCCAGGACAGGGCAATTTCAAGAAACCATCACAGCGTTTTAGCTCTTGAGCGCAATCCCTGTCAAGTTTTCATAGTACTGAGTCTTAGTTTCTTTGCATAAACTAGTCCCTTGATATATGTTTGTCATACATCGAAAATTCTCAGTTGGATTCTGCTTGCTGCCTGGGTTACCTGCTTTTTCTCCCAAATGAGATTCGCTTGTAAAATCCAAAGATTTCCACGCATCTTCTAAACAGAATATCAAATATGATTTAGTTACTGAAAATTGTGTTATAGACACATAAAAGAAGACGCAAATAATTTTTAAATTTTGAATGTCTATCATTTAAGTCACTGTCCCCCCCATGTCCCGTCCCCCCCCCCCCCCCCCGAGCTGAGGATTGAACCCAGGGCCTTGCACTTGCTAGGCAAGCGCTCTACCACTGAGCTAAATCCCCAACCCATCTGTGGTTCTTCTACGCATTCATTTTTTTTCCCTTTTGGGTTCTGGGTCCCGTGCTAACACTTGGTGTGGGAGCCATGGTGACTATTGGACGGAGGAACCTGGGTGGTTGTTGAGTCCTGTTCCTCGAGGTGTTCTGTAGTTATCAGGGATCGGTAACGACACATTTGTTTTCTGGGTTCTTTTAACTAGTAAGGCACTGCGTGAAGTAAAAGCTCTGGCAGCACTCAACCATGTCAATATTGTTCAATACCATAATTCTTGGCTGGGAGAGGACTATGATTTCAAGGAGAGCTTGGATAACGACTATGATTTCGAGCAGAGCGTGAGTCGGTAAGAAGAAATTCTCATAGCTGTGAGGGGACGGACGACGCTTGTCATTTATTTTGTGGGGGGCCACTAGAGGGAGCTGTTGATCATCACCTTTTTTTTTTTTTTTTTTTCGAGACAGGGTTTCTCTGTGTAGCTTTGCGCCTTTCCTGGAACTCACTTGGTAGCCCAGGCTGGCCTCGAACTCACAGAGATCCGCCTGGCTCTGTTTGAGACAGGGTTTCTCTGTGTAGCTTTGCGCCTTTCCTGGATCTCGCTCTATAGACCAGGCTGGCCTTGAACTCACAGAGATCCGCCTGCCTCTGCCTCCCAAGTACTGGGATTAAAGGCGTGCACCACCACCGTCCGGCTGATCATCACTCTTAATGATGAGAGCAACCTCCAAAAGATACTGTGGTCTCTTGTTCTAGAGGCAAAGAGACAAGGAATACTCTTTCCCTGTTCCTCTCTATCTTCCAAACTTGCTTTTAATTGCTTTGTTTTAGACTCACTGTGTAGCACAGACTGGCCTCACGGTGGTCCACCTGCCTCAGCCCCCAAGTAATGTGATCACAGGCATGTGCCAGTATCCTTAGATCAAACTTGCTTAAACAGTATTGGTAATGGGATGGAGAGATGGGTCAGTGGTTAAGAGCACAAATTGCTCTTGCAGAGGGCCAAGCAACTCTGTCCGGTGGCTCACAACCACCCGTAATTCCAGTTCCAGGGTATCCTCTGGCTTCTGCTGGCACCTGCATTCATGTACACATACCCACACAGAGACACAGACACATAGTTTGAAAATAAATCTTTTTATTTTTTTAAAGGTTTATTTACTTATTATGTATACAATGTTCTGCCTGCATGTGTGCCTGCAGGCCAGAAGAGGGCACCAGATCTCAGTTAGATGGTTGTGAGCCACCATGTGGGTGCTGGGAATTGAACTCAAGACCTCTGGAAAAACAGCCAGTGCTCTTAACCTCTGAGCCATCTCTCCAGCCCCTGAAAATAGAACTTTAAAAAAAAAAAAACTTTTTAAAAATTTCTTTAGTTGTTTTAAAAATCACGTTTGGCATTCCTGACCCCATTGTTCTCCGTATAGCCAGTGTGGGTCATGTATGGTTTACCAGAGAAAAGACAGATTGAATATGTAGATGCTGAATCCAAAGGTCTCCTCTTCCTCCTCAGAGGCTCCCGGCAGCATGTCTCTGGCGTGTGTCGGCACCACTGTGGCGGAGTGGTGAGCTACCAGAGGGTGTGCCCAGCTTCCGTCCCTAGTGCTTTGTTTTAGATCACCCCCTTCTGTAAGACTGGGAATTCTAAAAAACTGGCTTTTGCCTTTGCGAGTCATCCGGATTTCTTGGGGACAGTCTTCTCACAGAACTCCTGATGTCACTGGAGACCACATCATTCACCGCCTCCTGCCGGTGCCCCATCGCGTCCTTGAGCCCTTGAGAACTCCAGGGGTTACTGACCGTCAGTAGACAAAAGGCTTCATTAGCTTTCAGTGGATTATTGGCTGCATCTTCATATATTCTAGCATGTGTATGTTCGGGAAATATAAATTCGATATCATAGCCTACTTAGTTCAAAAGAAAATACATACTGGTTAACAAAAAATCAGTCCTCTGGCTTCTGTCTTTATAGCAGCCAATTTATTGGCACATCTCTAGGAGTTCTCAATGGGCTGTCATCTGGGGCTTTATTTTTTTTTTTTAAACCTCTTGCATGAGCCTCTAATCCCCATGATGATAAGGATAGTACAGAACTCATTTTCTCATTTTTAAGGTGCCTGTTCTGTGCCCTTTGTAAAACAGATGTTCAGTTAACTGAAGATGAATCAGAGTGCTTCAAAATTGCTTGATATAAAAATGAAAAGGCTGGATTTCTGCAACAAGGACTACGCATACCCCTTATCGGAAATCATCAAAGATCTTCAGCATTAAAGAATATATAGGCCCATACTTTATAGATAAGCAATTAAAGCTCTGTATACTTGAGAAATTAAGATTATTATAAAATGGAGCCGGGCGGTGGTGGCGCACGCCTTTAATCCCAGCACTCGGGAGGCAGAGGCAGGCGGATCTCTGTGAGTGCGAGGCCAACCTGGACTACAGAGTGAGTTCTAGGAAAGGCACAAAGCTACACAGAGAAACCCTGTCTCAAAAAACCAAACAAACAAACAAGATGATTATAAAATGGTTTATTTTATTTCAAGTTTACGCTATTTTTGTTTGATTGTTTAGGTTTTTTTTGTTGTTGTTGTTGTTGCTGTTTTGTTTTTCAAGACAGGGTTTCTCTGTGTAGTTTTGGTGCCTGTCCTGGATTTTGCTCTCTACACCTGTCCTCTACACCTGTCTCTACAGGCTGTCCTCAAACTCACAGAGATCCACCTGGCTCTGCCTGTTGAGTGCTGGGATTAAAGGCGTTAGCCACCACCACCACCTGGTCTTTATTTCAAGTTTATTACATTCAGATTTCCATTCTGAATCATGTTTTGGGTTTCATACGATATGTTAGAGTTTTTAAAAAAAATAACTTCATCCCAATTGCTACTTTTAACATACCGTGAATTTTTTGTATCCAGACCAAAGACCCAGTGCCTTTTCATCCAAATGGAATTCTGTGATAAAGGAACTCTGGAGCAATGGCTGGAAAATGGAATGCTGAATAACACAGACAAAGATTTGCTTTTGGAATTATTTGAACAAATCACGACAGGGGTGGAATATATACATTCGAAAGGTTTAATTCATAGAGATCTTAAGGTAAGTGGCGAAGAGATACATCATTTAATGACTTTAAAGTGTATTTTCTCTAGCTTTCAATGTGTGATGGCCTGTTGGTCATGATAAAATCACATTTCTCTAGTCTGCCGGAGTGGGTCTGGAACTTACCCCAAATGCCATCGCGTGCAACTGCGTGGCAGACCTCCCGGGCCCATGAACTTCTTGTGACACCAATCCTATTAGAAGTCTCGTTCCCTTCAGGCTAAAGCTTGATGGTCACTGCCTACTTGGAAGCAATAACAGCTTTCACAGACTGAAGGTAACTGGCAGTCGCCAGGGATGGCCAGCTGCTGGGACCCAGCTTCGGCTGTTGCACGGCTCTGTTCCACTGTGGTTCAAGTCTTGTTTCTGAAGGCAGGCACGGCTGAGGAGTCCACAGCCTGGTCCTAGTGTCCCCTTGATTGGGATCTTCTACTTCATGGTTAGGAAAACTGTAGTCCCCAAAGCTTTCAAATGCCCATCATCCCTCTGGGTATGTTTGCTTTCATGGTCTGGACAATGAATTTCTCTGCTTTTCCTTTTCCTCTGCAAGAAAGGAGAGGGGCCAAATTGCTCTGTGACTGCCTTCTTTATCCCAAACGTACCACGACTCTCAAGTCCTACCTGACAGCCTTGTTCATGTTCTTCACCGGACACGCATGCTTTGGTCCCGATTCCTTTACTGGGCCTTTCCGAATCACTCTGCCTCGGCCTTTTCTGCTCTAAGGCAGAAGAAGAACCTTATCCGAGTGTATCTTGGTGTCTGCGTACTCCACCTGTCTGAAACAGCCAGAACGAGGAGTGATTGAAGAAGTCCCTAGGAAAAATAAGTCCCCCTGTTTATAACTGCCTGCTGAACCGAGCTAGAATTAAGTGGCCTTCGAAACATATGAGTTCTTCTGTTTGCCTTGCATTTGTGAGCTCAGTAACTTGATATTTGAGTTCATCCATTTCTAGTATTTCTCTGTACCAATATCTGAAAGTATTCTTGGAAGTTAGAACATTTTTTGAGGAATGTTATGTTCCAAAAGATAAACGAGGGCCAGGATGGATGGCACCTACTTGTAATTCCAACATCTGAGAGCCTGAGGCAGGAGGATTATGAGTTTGAGGCTAGCCCGGTCTACATACATAGACCCTATCTCAATAACATTTTAATTTTTGTTTATATTCGCTATCCCTTCACTTTGGTATAAATCATACATAGAATTAAATAAGCAATTAGCTGTGTGAGTCCGGGCTTCCTTCACATAGCTTGGTCAAAACACAACAGGCTGAATTCAAAAGAGATACAAGAATCCATTTGTCTGTTCTGTAAAACCAGATATGGAAGAAATTTGCAAAGTGTGTAAGAAAGCCTCATCAGATCTTTCTCATGTTTACTCAACTGTGTTATACATGGGAATATGTTATGAAGTATTCAACTCATAAAAGAATAAGAAATGAAACACAATTGTTCCCACACCTACTTACTCACTTGCAAGTAAATGAGAAGTTTGGGTATTCCTTCCAGGCCGTCTTCAGAGTGTGGAGTGAGTTCTGGAATGTTCTTCTCGACTCACCTGCCAGCTTTCCTGAACCTGCCCTGGTTGGGCCCTGTGGCATGAAGTGATCTTTTCTTGTGTCTATTTACAGGGAAGTTTTTTCTCTGGGTGTGGTTCATCCAGATCCGAGGTCCTTTCACCCACATCTTTCTGACTTTTCTACTACAATGCTGCTTCCTCTCATCGCAGAAATGATCAGAAAGATGTGCTTGCAGGTGTCTCCCAAAGAAAGATATTGAAAAAAGTACCATTCTTACACGAAGTCTGTAGCTAGAGTTTTCCTGCCTTGCCCACAGTCAGGACAAATCTTTGTCACCCGCCAGTCCTGCAGCTGCTCAGACCCAACCAAGTAAACACAGAGACTTATATTGCTTACAAACTGTATGGCTGTGGCAGGCTTCTTGCTAACT